TCTTCTTCTTCTTCTTCTTCTTCTTCTTCTTCTTCTTCTTCTTCTTCCTCTCTCTCTCTCTCTCTGTCTCTGTGGGCACTTCTCGGTCTCGGTCTCTTTGGCGCCCTCAGGTAAGCCCTGCAAGATCACCTGCACCTTGTTCCTGTCACGAAACCCAGCTCGCCAGGGATTCACGGAACTGTGCCGCTGCTCGATACTGCCAACTGAAGAAAAAGCATGTTGACCGTATACACAGTATTGATATGTCGTGCATCCAAAAGCTAGTGGCCCCCATATGACTGGAAGCTGCATATTTTACCTTGAAGGTGCTTAGCTTCCAACAACCCTGCCCCACGAAGTCGGCAATGGAGATACACTGCTGGCTGCTACATTCAGGATCTAGTTGATTTCCTAGCAGTTTAACAAGGACCCCAAAGGGGGAACTCATCAACCCAAATGCGGCTGCCACTGGAAGACTCAGAGTGGTTTAACCCCACGCCCAGAAAGCATGAGTCGTGCCAACGAGGGTTCGTCCCCCAAACGAACGGCGCTTCTCCACCCACTTCCAAACGTGGAAGCTGACCCATCGGCAGGGTAGGATAGGTCAATCTTGAGTTTATGAGAGGAAACCCAGGTGATGTCGGAACCAAACACCTTCAGATCTTGGCCCCTGCTGTTGGCCCCTGGCCGTGTCCTGAAGAGCTGCAGAAGGAACGCTTTGTGGCGTTTGGAGAGGACCTGGGCCACGTGCGCTGCGAGCGCCGTGCATGGATTCAGAGCCCCAGCAAAGCTAGTGTTTATGTGCCTAAACAAGAAGGTGAATTCTGATTGTGTAAGATCTTTATATCGTCACATACATGGTTGTTCTCTAGAGATACTAAACGACATAGAGGTCCACCAAGAAACCAGTGGAGTTGGGCTTCGCTTTTAGCTTTCAGCAGCATGGAATGCAACCCTCGGAATGCATAGCCTTCACTGAGACTGCCTTTAAATCGATTAGAAAGAATCTTTTTCAAGCTCATGTCTTATGGCAGTTTCACAGAGCTTTTCACTGCGGGTGCCTCCAACTTGTGACATCTATGTCTATATACAGTAAGTTTGTTTGGGTTCAATGCGAGGCAAGTCCCATCACTCAGTTCATGAGTCCAAACAAGCGTTCCTCTTCTAATCTCGGATTCATCTTCGACTGGCAGCAACAACACACTCGGAAAAAGAAAGGAGTCACATCATCCTGATTCTCAGCAGCACAAACCCCAAAGCCCCACTAGAATTCACTGCTTAACAGCTGCTAGTACGTAGCTTGTTACTGGTAGCGATGGCCACCGAGCATAGCGTCCCTGCTAGTAGCCGCCGCCTGCCCCGCCTGCCCCGCGGGGGTTGTCCCGAAGTCCCGTCCCACCGAGCGGCGGGGAAGCCCTGCTTGTTCGTCAAGAAGGCATCCGTCGGGATGATCACAGAGCGGACTGGCCGGTGGTTGGGGCCCGTTTTGGTTGGAGTCTGCCCGGGGGTGACTAGGATAGGTTCCATTATGTTCCTCTTTTTGTGGGTTCGAGCTAATTTACATGGTATTTTCAAGTTTTTAGTTGATTTTGCTGAGTCACAAGGAGTGCTCTCCTTGCTTGTTGACAAGGCAGCTTCCGTTTGGAAAATGAGAGGTGCGGCGGCGTGGATCGTCCAGCAACGCGAAAGAATAATGCCGCAAATGTTCAAAAATGAAAGGTTTCTTGTTGGGTGAACCAATAGCCGACGCAAGCCTCGTAACCTGATAAGGCTTGCCGCAAGTGTGTCTCAGAGTACCGAGCTCCGTACTTTACGTATTCAATTAAACAATAGCATACAGTTACAAGGGAATCAAAATGAATCAAGATTCAAACAAATTACAAAAAAAGAAAAGTGAATATATATATATATATGTATATATATATATACTGCAAGCTAGGACATCACTCCCATCCCATCCCGCTGTGTTTTTTCCTTTACCTCACTCCTATCTTCGCTCGCCTGGCTCTGCCAGCCACCTGTGCAGCTCTCGGTCTGTCTCCGGGAGGTCCTCCGTCAACTCCAGGCATACCTATCACTGGCTTCGCTTCCGAGTCCGCCAGGTTTTGTTCTAAAGAACCACCTGGAAAAGCACAGCGACTATCGTGATTTTCAGGACATTTCTGGTACTGCCTCTTTCTGGTAGGGCTGGGCCATGATCTGTGGATCCACAGTCTTTTCAAAGGCGAAGCTTCTTGTCGGTTGCACAGCTGTAGATAGAAAAGTGTATGGAAGAAGAATGCTTAGTCAAACTAAACTGTATACATGAAATTACTTCCCCTCATTAGTTCCAACCTGATGGTGCACCAATAAAAATGTAAACGAAAATGGTATTGGAGACTTCTTTGAGTGTCCGTGAATTTTGAGGGTACTACCGACTTCGTGCTTGAGGCTTGCTCATCCTTTTTTGTGCATAGACCAAACCCTGAAGAGTTCCAAGATCATGATATCGCATAATATGGCTGTGCATGTTGCAAAGCATTGACTTGTGGGCAAGTCAAAGCCCCACGACTCACAACACTTTTTCAACTAATTGGTAAAAACTCTACTATGCCTCAACTGGCATTGCCTTTGCGTTGTGTCCCAACCGACCATTCAACAGGCTTCTCGGCGCGTGTGTTTGGTCCCACCTGCAGCCGCGGATTCTGATCGCACAGCAGGCGCAAGGCGTTCCAGGAGTTCCAACCATCTACCTGTAACTCAGCGCACCGCGCGAGCATCCGCACGGATGTGCCCGGATGCACACCCGGCCGGCAAAGAGAATCTCCCACACATCGAATGCTGGCACCTTTTGGTTAAGCCATCAGGGTGCTTGGATGGTATACCAGAGAGTCTTGCATATTGGAATGGAACGAATGATTGATGCCGTGGATGCTGCGGGCCCTACCAAATCAATAGAGAGTCAATGCATACCCTTTCCAACCAGCATGCCAAGAGAGGAGGGAAGCTTCATTGTTGGCAGTGAGATAAACTCGTGACTCTCCCCAACACCAACGTGCTCAAGTTCAAGCCTGGAAGACTAAGGCCTTACAAACAAGCTCCATCAGGCTTTGAAAAACCAGAACTTGAGGCCCCAGGCCTCTGCACCATCGACTTGTCTAAGCAAAGGGATTCGCACCATCAGCTGCGTGGTGCATATGCCTGGGTTGCGCAGGATGTTTTTTCTTGCGCTTGGTTGAGGTTGAAAGCCAAGTGGGATGAACTGCTGCACCTTTGAAAAGCTGTGCGAGACTCGAAGTCCAAAGAGGTTCTTGATGGATTGTGTCCATTGAAGCTGAAGCTGAAGCTCCTTCAAGCTGATTGGACCCCGGTCAAGGAAAAGAATCCAGTTGTGTTGTGGCTGTTGAATCTCCCTGTTTAGCGCCTGAGAGTCTGAGAATGAAACAGCTCAACAGCGCCACTGAGCAACGTGGTCTTCCTGGAAGGTTTCTGGATGCGGATACGCATTTTTTCTGCCCAGTCACTTCCAAGGCCAATGCGGCTCAGCCTGGGCTCAGAGTCAGAGGCTGCGAAAGAAATCGTTGGAATGACAGAATTCTGGGTTGAAACCCACCCCATGGTCCAATGTGAACATCTCCCGAATGAGCAAATTTAGCTTGTTTGGACTCCCATGTTGGGCACTCGGGTAAAGCAGGTTCAAGGATACAAAGACTGCTTCTGGTTAAGTGAGTTGACAGAATACTACGTTGAATGGTGCCATACACAGTGGTCTTGAAGTGACTGCCATTCCCAAACCAGAATGTCCTCAAGGCTCAGAAAAAAAAAATAACATATATATAAATCCAGGAGCACAGCGCCAAGTTGGCGCCCGGTTCTGACTTCGCTTTCCTGGAGCTTTTTCTGGGCTCCCCCCGCGCAGCTGCAAACAGCTCACAGCTGTTGGGCGGAGAAGGTAGGATGATGCCTAGTGGAAAAATGGCCGGGAGGGACTGTATAAACCAGTCACACACCACACACCCGAAGACTGTACGAAGTTGACACTGACTGACGTCTCGGTTCTCAGTCCCCGACATCTACGCGGTTTGAGGAACCCGTGTCTCAATTTCAACCACGAGCATCTGTCGCCCCTTGCTTTCATTCGTTCAATTCTAAGGGGTTATTGTTACATTGTGGGTCACTCTTTCTTGAGCCGCAACAAGATGTTCCAGCAAACACTTGGGGGCTGTAGACGTGATCTTGGGAAGCTTCACAAACAAAAACGTGGGGTGTGGGTGTGTGTGTGTGTGTGTGTGGGTGTGAGACTGCTCCTTTTCATGTTTTGTCCTTTCCAGGGTGCTTCGTGCAGTCTGAAGTTCCGCACAGTCTTCTGGGAGGTTGTCTTTGGGGCCTTCAGGTCAGGGAAGTTACAGTAAACCATCAGTGCACTTCCCCGGGAGGCCATGCATTCCGCCCAGGTGTCATGGCCTCCACAAGACAACGGGATAGGAATTACTTTGCATTTGCGGGAGGAGGCCTTTTTGAGAATGTTCGACCTCCGAACAACTTCGTACCAGTAGTTGCATTAAGCATATTTTAAAAAAATAAAGTAGTAAAAACAAAACATAATGTGACATATACAATTCAATGTGATGTTTTTACGGTGCAGAAACCTTTTGACCAATCAAGAGGTTTGCAGGGGTGGCTCAAACAAGGTGGCCCACAACAGACCCTTTGCTCAAGTCGTGTCTCATTTGGAACCCTGGCCCTTGCTCCCAATCCTCCCTGAACAAATATCAAAGCAAAGGCGTTGCTGTCACCGCTGGAAAGACACCGGTCTCGCCGCCCACCAACGAGTCGGCTCGCTGGAACCCCGTGCCGTAGACGCCCAAATGAGACGCCCAGCTCAATTCCTGCAACCATGGCAGTTGCGGGTCCCCACCCACCCACTGGATTGGTGGTCTTAAAGCAAACCAGGAGGGTCTGGGAATCCACAAAAGGACACCCCCTGTGCAGGCATGGTGCAGTGCAGGAATATTCCACGAGATGAAGCCAATAAGGTTTAAACACTGCTTCAACTGGATTTGCTGAAGTGTTCGTTTTCGGAGCTCTGTAGCTCCAAACTCTGCTCTGCTCAAGGACTTCCATCCGAGCCGTCTCCACATGTTCGCTGCAATCCATTGGTTTAAGCTGTGTCCTTCTAAGCTACCCTTGGAGGATGAGCAATGGCAATCATACATTGTCTGATTTCTAAACTCAAGGACCCGGCTTCTTCTCCCTCGTGCCACACATAGCCACCTCGTAGGATCATTCAGAAGGCTACTCCATATCATGTCTTACACTGAAATTAACCCTTTTCTTGTGCTATTTCTGTTCGCTTCATACAGACAAAGCCTCAACACGATCCCGCAACACGCGGAAGAGCTTTGAGGTCGTGGTAACGGCTTCATCGCTCCCGAGCACGTCCTGCTCCAAGGACTGCAGGCAGTAGCTCTGGCTAGACCTGCAATCATCACACCCTGGCCGGTGAATATTATCATTAGCAGTTGCATCAAGTCGCTAGTGTATGGATGTTCCCACGAAATGGCTGTGTAGGTTCGGTTCCACCCACATGTACAAACAGCAATCCATGCATGTTCCTCTGGATACTCTTGAAGCTGCAAGAAACAAGAAACAAGCCTTATCGACTATCGACTGCAAGTGACTGGCATCCATTTTAACATTCCCACCCACCCACCCGGCCCCGAAGGATCCTTCATGGGACTGATCAGAATGGAATCCCCCCTCTTTGGTGTCAGACAAGATTAGCCACCTCCCCTGCTTAAAGAACCAAGAAAACACAACTAGCAAGCAAGAAACGAAGAAACACCACAATACATGTTCATGAAGAGAAAAGAAAAAAAACAACTCGTCCGGGGTCTCCCCAACTCCTTTGGTCTCTCCTTTGGTCAGACTTCCAACTCCGGTCATAACCCTTCCGTTGTCTTGGTCCCTGGCGTCTCCAGCCACTCCGACAAAGTTCCGATCTGGCGACGAGAGCATGCACACGGGCTGCTTGACCAGCGGGATACACAAGAGATACTGTAGGTAGACCTCCGGCCAGTTTTATTTGCTTTTGCCTGATGTCCACAGGAAAAACTCCATTTGATTTAAAATACCGATGGAACATGGAAGATCTGACATTCTCTGTCTTCAATCGAAGCTCTGCTTTTGGGCTGAAACCTTCACCTACCAGAGATTCTCGAGCATTTGGAAGAGCAAGAGTAGGACTTCATGGCGAGCTGAGGTACTTCGCAAAAAGTGTACTGAAAATTAGAATGAACTGTTGGAGCAAACGCCTTGCATAACTGGAGGAGTTCTCTGCACATGTTGTAGCACTATCTAGTTGGGTGATTTGGGGCTCGTGGTCTTGGATTTTGAGCGTTCACCAACAAGCGGAGGAACGGCTTGCATAGTTCTGGGGAACATCCCTCAATCCAAACCACCAATCCACCCACGCCTCACCACTCACTGCCAGCAAAAGACATTGTTTTATCTGATCAGACAGCCCCGAAAACAATGGAAAACCACTCCCACCACCGAACCCCATGCACCTCCCCTCAACTTCTTCCCCCCATTATGTTTTCCTTCGAACCGATCCCCCCGCGGTTTCACCGGGTGAAACCAGCACGTCCGATTCCGTCGCCCCGGGATCCCGGGCCACGGCCGAACTCCAGGTCTTGCTGTCCTCAGTTCGCTCGTGCCGGTCAGGCGCGCCGGTCAGACGCGGAACAACACCGACCGAACACAAGCTCGGGTCGTTGGAAGGATCTGAAGAAAAATAAACTCCCGATCGATGGGAGTGGACTCAGATCATCCCGGTGCCAGTGTTTTCTCTGGCCATTCACCAGAGAATATGTGCCAGTTGCTATCACCATGCAATCTGCTACGGATACCTATGGCTCCTTGGAAGTTCATTGGGCGTCCTGCACAGTAAACGGTGGTTCTGAGGAGCGGTGACCAGACCTTTTCGTTCCTCGTGGGTGAGAGTTCCATGAATCCGATACTCCCCGCCACAATGATGACGCCTGATAAGGGGCCTCCACTGAACAAGTGGTCCCTGCTGTCCTTCTGAATTCCTACTTAGAGCGGAAAATGCAAGGTATAAAGCCTTGATCCCAAGTAAGGTCTATAAAGATCTACATCGAGTTCACTCGTGAAAGGGACTAGCTGAAATGTGTGCACACCACTGTGTTTGTCACACCACTGTGTGGGCGAGACAATGAAAGATCCACCATGCTGATTCCACTCCAAACCGTGTCAAGTGATGAATCCTTCAGGAGAATGAGCAGATTGAACCAAGCTTTCATCCTTGGAATGTCATTTGAGGCTACCCTGTGTGCCAGGGAGCATCCCAGTACAACTGGCACACCCAATCCGAAATCAACATACCTGACCGAACAGACATGTGAGGGAAACCGTACAAAACCAGGTTCTGCCCACAGGAATGGTTGAAACTTTCTGTTCAATGCTTGGGTAAGACACCGTTTGTTCATGTCGTGATTTATCATATTCGAAGCTCCAAGGCATCCTGAGTTTGCACAGTTAGGTCTTGAGTATGTCTGTTTATTTTCTGCCTGTTCTGGCCTGTTCACTGCCTTTAACAGCAAAACGGCCAATAGTTTGCCTTGGAGCACTTTTGGCATGTCAATGCTTGTTCAGGTACTGTAGTTGAAACGGTGACTTTTTGCGACCAAACTGTACTTGCAACTTCTGGCAAAAAGTGCACAGCAGCAGCATGTTTGAAAATCGTGCTTCCCTTTTG